GGTCAATCTGGAAGGGACTAGTAGTCTCTGATTGGTTGGACGACTTTATTTTAACTTTAATTTTTGTAAGTACTATTAGACAATCATCAAAATAAAAAGTGTTAATATCTTATAATATTAAAACTACTGTTTTGTTTGGTTTTTGAGAAAATAGATGGATAAACTCTAGCCGTTCGTATGGTGGAAAGATTATTGGTTGATTCACTAATGCTTTCTTGGCACAAATAGGACATTTGCACGAGAAAAGTTAATAATATTTATTAAAATATTAAATACTAAAAGTATTGTTGTGATTCATTTTAAGGCTTTTGTTGGATAGAGTATAATTTATAATTTTACAACTATTGTGCTAATTCGATACTCAATCATCGATTAAAGAGCACACATAACGTGAAGAAGATATGTGAGTTCATATTTTGACAAACTAATGTACTAATATTTGTGTTTAGGGGCGGGCTGGGGGACTAATTGGGTTGTACTATCAGATTAGTTCAGCTTCTTAGCCACTAATAGTAGACTACCAACAGATTATAAATCTCTAACTCTTGGAAGCATGTTTGCTAATATAACCATCGAAATACCCTAACAACCACTAACAATTTAGGTGCTCACCAAGGACTTCAAGTAGAATAGGATCTCACTTATTATATCTTTCTTATTATATCTCTCGGAAGCATATTCATATGAACCTGCTAGGCCCAGCTACACTGATGCAGGTAATTCATATGAACCTGTCAACTAGCAACAGGCCAACAGCTCAATAGCATAATAAAACAATTTTTGGGCTGGGCAGAACCAATCTACATCACTTTTTCATTTTCATCTTCTTCTTTTTTCTGAAATACTGTTAGAAGTTAGATACTCTACGGTCTACCATTAGGCTATAGTTCCCTTTACATTAAAAGGGTAAAGATTGCACATAAGATTAGATATAATGATGTGTAAAACCCACAAAGGTTGAATCAACATCCTAATATATGGTGACAAAAACTCCAGAGGGCTCTAAGAACAATCATTCTTAGTATTGTATGACAAATGGAATTAGTGCAAACTCAATACAATGCTCATAATTCCTCAACACCCTATAATTCCGTTGTTTCTTTGCCCTATGATTCCTGAGGTGGAACCATGATTACCATTATGAATCAGAGGGTCAGAATGGCAATCTAATAGGTAAAACTGTTGTGAAACAAGATGTGCAGAGTTTTACTATGTATGACAAACTTTCATAACCAACAAATAAAACAAATTCCCATCCTACATGCACATGAAAAGTGCACTTTTTCCATAATCCACACATACTATGAAAGAAATTAAATCATACTCGGACAGCTTGTACAAGAGCCCATTTTGCCGCAGGATCAGCAACAGTCCGACTTTTAACGCCTTGAAGGGGCACATCCTCCTAATCTGAATGCCAATCTCATTAGCTCCTGGGGTCGCTAGCACACCTTTGAATGCATTGAATGTCTCAGTGATTGGAATGTGGAGCTTGTTTTCATTATTGTTGGCAACTCTTTTTACTGTTGCTTGTCCAACTGTTGGTCCCTGCACTCGCCTTGATGAAGATGCACCTACATGTTTGATAATGTCATTAGTGTATTTACTAATGTAAAAATATAAACAATAGATAAATTGAAGGTAGATGAAACATATTTAATTACCTACGCCACTTGTTTGACTTTGAGGAGATGGTGCATGCGTTTCAGACGGAGATGCTTCACAAATCTCAAATCCATATGGTGCATTAGTTTGAGACGGAGATGGTGCAATAGTCTCAGATCCTAACTACACATTAATTTGAGACAGAGATGGTCCAATAGGCTCAAATCCATCTGCTGCAAGACCTTCAGGATAAGGTGTACATGTATCAGTCGAGGGTGAGTACGGTTCAAGTAATGCCCTCTTCGGTGGTGGTAAACGGCGCATCTTCTTTGCAGGAGCCATTTTGTTACATTTTAACATAATAAAACGCAAAGTGCACAATGAGTACATGGATAAGCAAAACTTTTTAATGTGAACACATACATATACGTCAACAGTAATAATTAACAAATATAATAACTAAGAAATGAACATCCATAAAAATCTTAATTGTATACATATATATTAATCCATCTACATAAATTTGCAAGTGATATTGATGACATATATTTTTCACTCTTTTTTTTCATCGGAAAGAAGAAGACTTTATTGATGAAATATATGAATAAGTACATCAATAAAGAGGAGGTTCGAGCTATAACAAGCTCCAACCTCCTAGTTGGTGAGAGACCAACACACAAAGCAAACAAAGCAAATAAAGCCAGAAAATCCATAAAGATTAGGCATTACAACACTGCCATGAATAAAAACCAGATGAGGCACTACAGTAGCCCTTCCAAGCACCAAAACAGATCACCAAAACAGAACAGGCAGAGAAGACAACCAGCCCTTCAGGCAAAGAATCCAAAACAGAATAGAACTACCATGAAATACTACAGCCCAGCAATCATACCAAACACACTGCCTTTTCCTATTACAGCAGCCCTATATCCACTCCAAGTACCAAGATTGTTTAAGCCAACACAGCAACAAAATAGATACATCGAGACACATAACACAGAACAGAAGACAGACAGAACAGGCACTGTAGCAGACAGACAGAATAGGCAGAACAGGCACTACAGCAAATAGATAGAGCATGCACTACAACAGACACACAACACAGAACACCTCAAAATCAAATGCACCAGAACAGAACAACAACCTGAGCAGCAGTGCACACTCTAAATCAAATGCACAGCAGCAACATATATAACAAAAAGAGTTGTAGTATGTCCTCAAACAGTATGTATTAAATACATCAAGGTTCTATGTCATGATTTATATAGTTAAACAATGTCAAATTCGTCTTCTTCTTCCTCATCATCGTTCTCAATGAAGTCATCTTCATCGGTATCACAAATGAAAGCATCAGCAACACCCTTGACTTGTGTTTGACTATGAGATTGTGAAACCATTGTATTTGGAATAATTTCACCTTCAATATCATCTCTACACAAAACCCCTTGATCGCTGCCGCCTTCAACTTGCATACCGTTTTCGTCCATAATTGGTACAACCTTGGTGGTTTCATTTTGTTGGAACACACTATTTACAACATCACCAGGTAAATCATCCATCTCTGGCACATTCCATATTCCTCGATGGTGGAATCGTTCTACAACTTTCCAATTCCCACCTAATTTGGTATCATTAACGTAGAATACTTGTTCTACTTGAGCTGGGAATACAAAGGCGTCATGTTCATACCATCGACTTTTTAGATCGACACTTGTGACATGTGTATCCGTGAGACAAGTCTTCTTGCTACCGGTGTTGTACCATTCACATTGGTACAAAACAACTCGATGTCTAAACAAATATGTCATTTCCCACACTTTCCGTAAGTAACCATAGAAAGGCATTGAATGACCCTCATGCTCCCCTTCTACAACCAGCCCACTATTTTGAGTTTTACAACGGTTATCACGGTCGATGGTATGAAATCGAACACCATTAGAAATGCATCCCGAATATGTGTTGACTATTGCACTAGGACCGTTGGCCAACGACCACAATTCATCAGTTGCTTCCGGCGACCCTTGATTCCGCAACTGATTTATCTACATAAGCAATACGTGTTATGTTACTTTGTTCAAGTTGGTTATAGCATAATGTGCTCAAATGTTGGATAGATAGGTATGTCTTACACGTTCTTTGAACCACTTAGGAAATTCATCTCGTTGCCTCTTTGTGGTGTCACATGTACTTCCATTTTGCAAAATGTTCTTGTGTTCCCTAATTAATAAAAATTGTAGATAAGTAAGACATATGATTACGAATAATCAGACAAAACATAAATGGCGAATTTAACTTTTTTGAGGCCTGAAAACATACTCTAGATATTGTTCCATGTCAAAGCTATTGTATAAGACAAACCACTGAGCCATCTCTCGTTCGTGGAGAGGCACATCTGGTGCCTTACTGATTAGACCAAATGGACGAACTTTTTGAGAAAAGATGGCTAACCCCAAGCTGTGATCACCACCGTCATCATTCCTTTCTTCTCGATTAAACACTGTTTCAAATCCATCAAGATACATCGAGCAGAAAGTTGTACACTCTTTGGAAATGTACGCCTCCGCAATTGATCCTTCAGGATGAGCTTTATTGGTAACAAATCCTTTTAGCATTCCAAGTAGCCTACAAGAGAAACTTTTTTTACTATGTCCATACTACATTAACAATATATAGACTACCATTAAAGGTTGATGACAGTGATATGGTAAGAGCATAAATAATTACCATTCAATTGGGTACATCCATCGATATTGCACCGGCCCTCCAAGTATTGCCTCGTGCAGCAAATGAACAACCAAGTGAACCATGACATCAAAGAAAGCTGGAGGAAAAATCTTCTCAAGCTTGTAAAGTACAAGTATGATTCGATCCTCTAGCTTTTGTAAATGTGTCACCTTCAACGTCTTTGAACACAGTTGTTGGAAGAAATTTCCTAACTCAAACAAAGTCGTACCAATTTCATTGTTAAGATACCGCGTATCCTAACCGGAAGTAGTCGGTGTACAAGCACATGACAATCATGACTTTTGAGGCCTGAGATTTTGCCACTGTCAGTATTCACGCAATTGGAGATGTTTGCTACATAACCATGGGGATACTTGATTGATTTCAAAAAAGCACCAAAGCCTTTGTCTTTCTTTCGTGGATAATGTGTACACAGCTGGAGGCTTCACAAATGACCCATCACCACGACTCTGTAGGTGTAACTCCTTCTGAATTTTTAAATTTGCTAAATCAATCCGTGCTTTTTCTGTGTCCTTGTTCTTCCCATCCACATTTAATAATGTCTCCATCAAATTGTCACAAATGTTCTTCTCTATGTGCATGACATCAAGGTTGTGTCAAAGCTTAAGCGTCTTCCAGTAAGGCAATTCAAACATAATGCTTCTTTTTGCCTAACTCAACACTGGATTTTCGTCCCTTTGCCTTTTCCTATTATTTGGATGTTTTCCAAATGGCTTGTATGTCCCAGTCTTAATTTGCTCTAATATTTGCTCCCCTGATAACTCTAACGGTTTGCACCTAACCTCACTTTGTCCGTTAAACAACTTGCTCCTTCGCCATCTGTGGTTCTCGAGCAAGTAACGACGAGCACCCATGTACCCTATCTTACTTGTTAACCTTTGTGATGATGCGCCCTCATTACAAGTGGGACAAGCCAAATAACCTTTAGTAGTCCACCCGGACATGTTACCATATGTAGGGAAGTCGTTGATGGTCCACATCAGTGCATCATGCATTCTAAATGACTCTTCGTTTTTCGCATCATAAGTTCGCACCCCATCTCCCCATAACTCCTTCAACTCTTCAATCAATGGCCGTAAATAAACATCGATATCTCTTCCAGGAGCCGATCGTCCAGGAATAAGCAATGACATCATGGAGAAAGGCTCTTTCATACACTTCCATGGTGGGAGGTTGTAAGGCATTAGGATAACGGCCCACATATTGTATGATGTGCTCATATTTTCGAATGGATTGAAACCATCGGTGGCGAGCCCTAGCCTTACATTTCGTGGATCCATGGGGAACATAGGATGTTGCCAATCAAAGTCTTTCCATGCCTCAGCATCAGCTGGATGCCTCAAGATTCCATCATCCACACGTTTCTCCTTGTGCCATCTCATATCTGTAGCGGTTTTCTTGGACATATACAATCTCTTCAATCTTGGCGTTAATGGAAAGTACCTCAATATCTTGTGAAGGATCTTCTTACCCTTTCCGTTGTCCAACTTGTATCTAGGCTCTTCACACTTGGGGCAATTATCAAGATTTGCATGCTCCTTCCAAAATAGTGCACAATCATACCTACAAGCATGAATGGGAACGTAGCCCAAACCCAAGTCACGTGAGAATCTTTTCACAGCATATATGGTCCATGGAACAGTCTCATCACACTCGGGTAGAGTGTCCTTGAAAACTTTCATAACCATATCAAATGACTTATTGCTCGACTTGTTGTACACCTTAATGTGAAGCATCTTAATAATAAATGACAACACAGTGAACCTTGTGCATTTCGGGTATAGTTTACGTTGAGCATCTTCAAACAACTTATCAAAGTTTCGCCCATCCACACTCTCAAAAGTAGCAGGTAAATCATCCCCTTCATCATCCACTGCAAAACCCCTACAACCTCTTCCAACATAGTAGGCAAATCATCCCCGTCATCCTGATCTTCCCCTACAATTTCACTATATATGTCATGGTGACCTTCATTCCGTATGAGAGGTTCAACCACGGGAACAAGTTCCCCATGGTGCATCCACGTCTTGTAAAAAAGAGATATCCCTCTTCGAATCAAATGAATCCTAACAACGTGGATCGTATGTTTTTTGTCGTTCAAGCAATCAATACATGGACACTGAAGCTTATCCTCCAAGCCTACATTTCTCATCGCAAATTCAATAAATGAATTCACCCCTTCTTGATACTCCCTAATACTTAATCTATTTTTTATTGTCATCCAACCCTTGTCTATTTGGGCCATCTGAAAGGTTAAAGACAACCATTACAGCAATTAATCTACATAATATTACAGAAAGTGTTAGAAACTACAAAATGAAATTTGCTAACAGTAACGGGAATGAGAGATTCACAAAAATGAAAATAAAATAAACTAAATTAAGCAACCTACAAGCATGCAATGCTTGCTACATCAAGAATTGTTCAAATAGGGTTCTACAATTCCACACCAAATGAGACAATTTATGTTTAACTTATGAAACAAAGCAATCAAAAGAACAATGCTAACATGGATATCGTAACAAATATTTTTTAGCTACGTGATCAGCAAAAGAAAACTTTATTGATGAATACAACCAAAGTATGAAAAGATCCTTCAATAAAGAGGAAGCTTGGAGCTAGCACAAGCTCCCAGCTTCAGTTGGTGAGAAACCAACAAACAAAGCGAAGCAACAAAACCAGCAAACAAAACAGCCAATAGCCACTGCTGAGCACAATCAGACCAACAAAAGCAGCCAAGAGTTAAAAATCAGCAAAGTAAAAGAGCTGATTCTACATACATCAACAACATTTGTGTTTTAAATAAATAAAAAACATTATTAATTTGGAAAACATACAACATATCTCATCAATTTCATATGAAAACATACAAAAGTGGTCAGCAAATGTGTAAATTCTTGTAGTGTTTATATCCCATAAAATTTGAATTTTAATCATATACATTATTTTTTATAAACTTTTATGCGTATAAGTAAATTACACTAATTATCATTGTGTTTTATTCATTAGAATGGAATGGAATGGAATGAATTGCAAATACTGAATATCTCATTCATTATTTGAAGAGAATGATCATCCACATGGAGACTAGAGACTTATCATTCCATTCCGATTTACCTTCATTTTAGTGAACGGAAAATTATCTTTCTAATCCCAATTGTCTACTTACCTTTCAATTGTAGTAGTCAAACTCTTACATTTTTAGTCAAATATTAATTGTCATGTACAAAATGGATGTGTGTCACACACATTATAATGTTTCATCAATTTTTATAATGAATCTGAACAGAGGGTTAACATTAACACTTGACTAAAAGGGTAAGAATTTAATTGTTACAATTGAAAAATAAGTAATTGTAGAGTAGGATTGAGGGTAAAATATAGTGATACAAAATATAATTTATCTTATTTTTTGTATCTACTATGTAAGAACACATAAGATTGAAAAGCTAAGAACACATACTTAGGAAACGATAAGAACACATACTTGGGAAACAATATTCTTGAAAGTTCTACAGTGATCACTGCAAGAAATTGAAAAGCAGAAGGGAAAAACAAAAAGGAAAAGCTAAGTTCAAAAAATTTGAAGTGCAACAGAGATGAGCCCGCAAAATCTTATAACCTATGTTACATGAACTCTTCTAAATTTATGAAGTACCCGTGTTGGTCACTCTACACTTGCGTAAAGGCAGGGGTGGCAGCACTTGTAAGACAAGGTATTCAAATGAATACCCTAATTTTTTATTCTTTGTATAAGTATAGGTAATATATATGCCTTCAAGCTCCATCAATTCTAGCTATGAGTTGTATGACTTGTCAAAAGCAATTGTAAAATTCCATGTATCTAATATATTCTTTTGTTGAAATAACAGTATCACTATATTATTATTTTAAAATTATGCATGAAAACCACATCTTATGCATGAAATGTTCTATGACATCTTCTAAACACCATCTTACCCAAAAAAAATTAAATGATAATAGAAAAAATAAGAATATTTTACCATGTCTCAATCGTTGTGTATTTAGACATGGGAATTGGATGAAACAGGTCCCACACTAGACACCTATACCCAAATCCACCTAACATAGCTTATAACCAACAGCCGCTAACTTTTTCAATTTTTTTTCTTTTTCTTTTAAGGGTAAATCACAATTTTCAGCCAAATTTCACTTTGATCCCGCATCTTTTAATTGCATCAATTAAGTCCTTAGACTTCAACCCGGGTTTCAATGCGGTGCTCCCATCACTCCATTATTTGAAATTTGAGTAAAAATTGAAACATAAGGAACCAAAATGGAATTTGAGTGAAAGTTGGAGGGTGAAAAGTGTAATTTTTCATACAAAATGCCCTTAAAATGTGCTCGCGTGAGCACTTTCCATCTAATTTTTTAACAATAAGTGATGGGAGGACCATATTCAAACACGAGTTGAAATCTATAGACTTAATTGTCACAATTAAATGATGAGGAATCAAAGTGAAATTCGGATGGTGTAATTTACCCTTGTTTTAATCAAGTATAACCACTAGCTATTATAACATTGCAAACCAAGAAAATAGCTTAAAACAAACTAATAGCATCAATTTGGCCAAATAAAAAGTTACGGGTTTCACCATCCTAATATTCTATCAGTAGCACATAGATGCACAAGAGATGGTATAAGAGGATTCAATGATGACCGTGACCAACAATCAAAATAAGTCATCACTTAACAGCTCAAAGCATAAGAAAGGAGCCTTACAAACTCCTTTATATGCCACTTTAAAGCAATAAACCTAGACTAGTAATGAAAATATTTTGATAGAAGCAAAACAAAATCTTCAAGCTTGATATTATGATAATTCCACTACCTAATAGGCCAACTAGTCATTAGGAAAAATTAAACAATTTAGAGTCTCCAGATCAAGAAAACCTTGAACACCAATGAAACAATACTAAATTTTATGACAAAGACACGACAAATCAACAACCTTACTCACCAAAATGCAAGTAATGAATTAAATACATCATCCATTAGCTAGTTCTTAAAAAGCCAACTGTACTAATTTTAAGAATGATACTATGATAAACCTAACTCATTTGCATGGTGCTTTGTCAATGAAACTAATATGAGAGTATTGGTGGCATAAATAATGGCATTTTGACTAAGACAGAGAGAAGAGTGGAACCAAATATATATATATATATATATATAAACAACGCCCAATTAGTACACATTAACGTGTGTTTGGGAGGGAAAAGATTAAGTACACACTTAACCTTTAGCATAATGTAAAAAGTGGTGGCTCCAAGACTTGAACCCATAACCTCAAGGTTATTACGCCAAGTCTTAACCATTAAACCAATGGTCACCCCTTTTTTTAACCATATATATATATATATATATATTAATAAAAAAAATCAAGTTGAAAAGGATAATATACCAAACTCTCCAGGATATTACCAAAAGTGGTTGATCACTCAAACATCAAACAAGGCAATAAATCCATGTTATGTAGTCAAGGGAAGGCTAAAATGTAAATAAATAAGTAAAATAGTGCTACAATTTCTCAGAAAATCAATGTGTTTGGCTAGTACATCTTAAATTTTGAACTCACTGTCTCCTAATTTACCTTAATCAAAAGATTCATTAAAAAGTTATTAATATTAGGATTCCGACATTAGAAAAAACATTTACTTAATCCTTACCATATATAAATAAGAATTTAATGTATCCCTGTTTTTCAAGAAATCCTTAAGACCACAAAAATTTTTAAAATTCATGTGCATATGAGAGCACATGGATATGATATCTATGGTTTCTCAAAGACTAATTAGATTGGTTGTCATGGTGTGATCCATCACACAAAATTATACCATTACAATCTGTAACAGGGCCGCGGGGGACCTCGCTACAGCTCGGACTCGACTTTTCGTAGTCACGGTTCTAAGTCTGAACCAAAGAGTCCAAATCTGGCAAATCGTTTTGAGAAAAACTGATTTTTTTGAAAGAAGTGCCAAACATGGACTGCTTTGCCAGATACAGAGTCGCCACCTAAATATTTTATTTGGGAAATTTAGGAAACCCTGACTCGGTGCCAAAAGGCCACGTGTCCGTCATCACCAAAGTTGCCTCGGCTCGGGAACTTGGGTACGATTGGGGAAGGTCACTTCGTGAGCACCCCCGCTCGCCCGGTCATAGACCGGCCTCTACTAACCACGATATCAATTTTTGAAAACATTGTGAGTTCTTATTCCGGTTATTAGCCTAGGTTACTACGTGATGCTCGCAGCATATAAGTATAGACCGGGTCGCCCGAATTGGAACAAAACATTTCATTAGGCCCATTGGCCGCAAGACATCTGCAAACAATCGGATATGGACCATGGGGTCGCCAGTCCCGTCAAAACGGTCTATTTGTGGCATTTTAAACCTATCGGGGAGTGTTACGGCCTCCTCGGTATATCCATCCCCGATATCCGGCATAGCCTTGACCCCTTGGGATTTCTTGAAGAGCTTCTCCAGTTTGCTCAATT